AATGTCTGTTATTTCATTTCCTCCTCCTCTTGCCAGATTGTCTTTTAATTTTTTAGCTCTATCTTGGGATGCAAAATTCTGGATTCAAACCTTGACAAATTCTGATTCATCCAAGCAACTTAAACATCCTTTTGGTACCACCATATTGTTGTATTGTGTTGTTCTATGACACTGTAGTGAAAGAGATAATCATTTACCCCCCCAAAAAGTTTGTGTTCTGTGTGCGATCTGCCGAAGAAAAATTACAAAAAAGTAGTTAGCAAAAATCTACTTCAATGACTAGAATCTATGCTAATGTTCTCCCCTCCCCTGAATGGCATGACCAATCAGAAAGATCTCTTGATGAACCAAAGCCGTTGTTTTTCGCTTATAAAGGCAGAAGATTTTTTGAGCTAGTGAGCCGAACACACATTTTTGCTCGTGAAAAGTGAAGGTTGGACGTGTGACCCCATTTAGTTGTTTCTACTTTGCTTGTTGGACTGTTACGATGGACTATCATTTGAACTGCAATTTGGCTACAAGTGTTGCGGTCGAGAAACAGAAGAAATGTATTGCAGTTGCTACTATAAGTTGACAGTCTTTTCTTTTCTTTTTCTTTACTACAACAGACACATGATCAGTAGTGAACTTCTTGCTTTACTAGAGACTTTATATCTCTTCTACTTAGCATATGCAAATAGAGACAATCCTATTTACTGATCCACCACAATATTACAATTTAAAAGACCAAAAATAGAGTTATTGCCCTTTATTTGTCTACCCATAATTCCCTTAATCACTGTACTCTATGTTTTAAATAAAACCCATATTTCTTACACAATCTCTGTGTTTATACCCAATCTATTACAACTACATTTATCTTTGTTTGTATTCTCAAATACCCACCTGTGAGTTTAGGGTATGAGTGAATAAATCTTGATTCTCTGGAAAGAAGCAACAAATGGATTCATATTAAATATTAACCTGTTTTCTGCCAAGTATATTCTTTTAATGTTGTAACTCGTATTTCTGGTTTTGTTTGTAAGAAATTGATAAAAAGAAAATTTTCATTGTCTGATATCACAGCTGCAGCAAGAGAAGTCTTCATTTAACTATCAGAATATGATGCCAATGCTTTTAAGAAATAAATTTCATGTTTATTACATTTGAACAGTTTTTTATTGTCTCCAAAAAGATGGTCTTAATTTCCAAATAACCTAACATTCTTAACAGATTCACTGCTACCTTGCATATGTGAATTTATTCCAGATTCGAATTCACCTGCAACAAAAAGGAGAAAGATTTTTAAATATAAAAATATAAAATATTTTTATTTTCGTGCTTTTACAACTAAGTTTTTCTCAGCATGTATAAGTGTCAAAGTTTCTTGTTTGTAGTTATTTGTTCAAATGAAAAAAAATGTGATTTCTTCACATGTATGTGTGAGAAAAAAGAGGCAAGGGATAAAGTGAGGAGGAAGAGTGTAAGTGTCACATAGCTTGATGAGGAAGAGTGTAAGTGTTATGTAGCTTGGTGAGGAAAAGTGTAAATGACATGTAGCTTGGGAAGAAGAGTGTAAATGTCACATAGCTTGGAGAAGAAGATAGATGAATGAATCAGGAAATGTCTTTTTAGCTGTGTTGTGAATCTGTTGTTGTATGTTGCTGCTCCTTCTCCTTTGTTTGGTCTGGTAACTTTGCTTATATACTCTTAAAAGGAATCACAAAGCATGTTTTTTATTGTTGGCAGGAATATAACTCATTGGTTGAAAAATGTTAAATATTTATTTTCAAAGGATTAATTTATTAACCAGAAGGATGTGCGAATCCTCCGACTCAGGAACCATTTTTTGTCATTTGATGTTTGACTATCTTGCTGCTTATTTCCACCTTTGCACCACCATCCCTTACATAATACCATCTATGTCTTTGTCAGAGTTTCTATCAAAATTTGTTATATAAGATTTCTTAGGCTTTATTGAATTTATTAACACATTTATTGAATATTTGAACCCTTATATAATGCTGTTTATGTTTTTTTATTAGAGACGCCATTAGAAATTGCTATATAATAGTTTAATGATAGAAAGATAAATAAAAGTAAATAATAACAAGGAGACCAAAATTTCACCATCTCTAAAAATAGATGTATAATCAGAATTGCTTTTTTCTCCATGGTACCATTTGTGTGTAAAAATGCATTTCTGCAATATTTTAAACTTAAAGTAAATATTTGTTTCAAATCAGATTAATTATACTTTAAATCAACATTTTCACACAAATCTACAAAGAAACTAACACTGTATTTTTTATTTTTACATACATTTTTTACTCATTTCACCCCAAGCAATGCCATAAAAGCCACTATATCTCTAGATATATAGCAGGAACACCAGAACCTGTGTGGCAGTATAGACAAATGGTAGACTTATAGATATGTAACATAGATGCTGGAGAGAGAAATTGTCTAGGACAATATAGTGAAATGTCTTGGCATTAAGAAATGTTCTATTGATTGAAACAAGTGATAAATAATATTATCAATTATTAACGAAAATTTGCTTGAAATCGTAAAATAAAAAACATAATATGACAAAGACCTTATTCAATTAGAGAAGCTTTTAACTGATTTTATGAACAATATTTATTAAGGACAACATTGTCCGAGGAAAAATATTTCAATGATTAATGAATTTTTTACAAGATTTGTTTTCATTTTTTTACAATTTTAATTTTAATAATTTATGAAGTTTTTAAATCTTTTAAAATTCAGTTTCAATAGTGTAACCCTTAGAGAATATTGTTATTAAGTAAAGCTATATTTACTAATCATAAATCATAAAACTTATTACAATCTGAGGACACCCAATATTTTTAAGAATAATTTTGAATTGCTTTGGTATGTCTATAATTTTATAGATACAGTTATCCAACACTATTAGAAAATAAGTGCAAGAACTATATTACTATAGTTCTTGCACTTATTTTCTAATAATGTTGGATAACTGTATCTATAAAATTATAGACATACAAAAGCAATTCAAAATTATTAGCCAAAAGCTATCTAAAATTCAATAAAACATTAGATTACAGAGAATATTTTCTTAATTTTTTAGATTATTGAGTACTTAAAAATTATATATATATATGAGATGTTCACATTATATTCAATTATTTTACAGCTAAAATCCCCATAGAACAACATTAAATAAACATCAATCTGTCATTAAGCAGCCAAACACATCAACAGCTTAAATCAACAGCTACTACTGTATTCAAAAATGCATTTCTGCAATATTTTAAACTTAAAGTAAATATTTGTTTCAAATCAGATTAATTATACTTTAAATCAACTAATATCCTTCAAATAAAGTTTCAGAAAAGTATATTTTATTTTTGGATGATTTTTCAATAAAGAGAACTCCATTGAAATGACAGAAGACTAAAAATGGCTTTAAATTCAAAATTTTCAAAAAATTAAAAAATGAAAACACCTTCCAGTAAATTTAAATTAGTTTTTGAAATACAGTAAAGTATTTTGTTTATTGGAAATATTAAGTTTAATTTATTAGCTTGAAATTAAAACTAAAATAAATACTTCAAAAAAGATTTTTCATTTTTAAAAATTCATTTTAAACCTTAGGTATCAAGAATCTACCTACTATTCAATAGTAATAGTATAAGTAGGATTATTCATTTCCATACGTCATAGTATCTGTTCTCCTCATTTTAGATGGTAGGGAGTCACACAGTGGCAGTACCTACCCCATTGCACTAAGAGAGGTGAGGTCAGTGTAATATCGACAACAGTGTGACTGGGCAATTTTATGTCCTTATCCTATATACCATATATTTCGACGTATAAGATGACTTTTAAATCCCAAAAATCATCCTTAAAAATTGGGTGTTCATCTTATACTACAATTCTAAAAAAGAAACTTTAAATTCTGAGTGATGTTTGTCGGTAGACTAACCTTGCCCTGACTGCAGTAAACAATAATGTACATGAAATCAATTTATATCCTTACAAGCTCAGCTGAGAAAATGTAAACATCGAGTTATGATTGTATTTACAGCAACTATTATTTTTCGCTAAACTTTTAATAATGACTGAATAAAAAAATGTTGAAAGTGGAATGTACTATTATTGTATTGTTATTAGCAGTATTTTGTGATTATCTATGAAGTATAAATAAATGGCTATTAATACACTCGGCTGTTTGTAACTATTTAGATATAAGAAAAAAAGAATCGTTGTTTGCAAGAGGTCACATGATGAAACCTAAACAAAACTATAGTTTCCCTTTTAGAGAACATGTGTAGGAAAAACATGATATAGAATTGGTTTTGTTATTTTGTTTATTTTGAATTTCTAGGGATACAGTAAGTAACAACATTTCCAATAACATCATCTTTATACAATCAATAAGCAGTCATCATATACTACACATATAGAATAAATTGATGAAAATTTGCAATATATTTTGACCTCTAAATGTCACCTTATAAGCGGAAATATGTGGTATGCACATATGGATTCCCCACATAAAAAAAACTTGTCCCACATCCTACATTAGTGTGGAGGTTAGGTAAATAAAATCTAGTGCTGCACTTAAATTCATGAAGTTGAGGTAATGACAAGGAAATCTCATCAACCCAACTGCCTATTTTTTAAATGAACTTTGTTTTGCAGTAAATGCATTTGAAATATGACAAGAGGGTAATTTGTTTTATTCTTTTTTGTAGGTAAAAGACAGTGGACATAAACCAAAAACTGGAACCACCAAAGTGACGGTAATGGTTAGTAATATGATGTGTGAGACACCACTCTTTTCACAAGAATTCTACTTCTTCCACCTGACAACAAGCCCCATCCCTGCCGATTACCATTTTGGCTACATTGGCTATGAGAAGAATGGATTTGATTCAATCTCAGTTGACATGGAAAAGTCTTCAGTGAAAGAATTCTTTGTCTTCGATGAACCATTTGGCGAACGAGTACTTCTCAAAAGCAGTAAAGAAATGTCATTCAACGAAGTTCTCACATCACTGGCTGCATTTCAAGTGACAGCCAACTTGTTGCGTTTCTCTGTCCTCATCTGTTCATCCACCTCTGTCCACTGTGCTCGCAGTAGCATTTTTCTCTCTCTGGAGCAGACGAACACATTTGGAGACCAAACCAAAACTGTCAACATCTCGGAGAACAATAAACCTGATGCTGTTGTCATCAATGTTGGACATTTTATGGGGAAGCCAAACAGTATATACAGATTTGTTGAAAAGTATCCTGACTTCAACATTCATCCTACCACAGTAAGTATAACTTTACAAGTAATCTGTAGGGCTTACAAAATTTGATTAGGGCTTTAAAAATGGGCATTTTAAAAGTATATATAAATATATATATACAATCATATTAAAAGAAATAGGGAGGAAGAGGAAGGATTAAAAAAAAATTATTACTCACTATAAATTGATAGATTTTATTTTACAGTTTCATCCTGTACAAGGCCTAAGAGCCAATCAAAGTAGAGGGTTACAGAGTAAGAGGCACAGTTTATGCAGGGAACATAACAGTTAACCCTAGACTTTAACAGGTTAAGATTGTAGTAATCAGGGAAGCAACCACTTTGGAGTCAGTTCCACAAGGCAATGGTTCATAGGAAGAAGCTGCTTCAGTGGAACTTAGGCAAATGTAAAAGGAATGATGATGGTTCACTACTATGTGTGTAACATGGCAGGTCTTAGCCATGAAGGTTAGGACTGTTGGAACAAAAGAGTGGAGTTCATCTGAACACTCTCCATAGAAATAGTGATAGAGCAGCAAGAGACTTGAGTCTGTGAGAAAGGTGTTGTAGAGTGGAAAATAATTTATCATTTGAAAAATATAACAAAAAAATAAACAATGAAAAATTGTTAACCAGTTATTGCTTTTTGCCCTTCAAAGTTTTGAATAAAGGATAAAAACATATGAATATGTATACAATGACATTAAAAAAAAGGGCAAAGAAAAGAAATACTATTTACATTTACATTATTCGGATTGTTGTCATATAAATTGCTACAATGACAACATCTCGGTCACTGTATGCTCCTGCCTTCTTCAGAATCTGTCTATATTTCTAAGATGAGTTATTGTAACTATTCACACTATTTACATTGTTCAGATTGTCCTCATCTAAATTGCTACAATGACAACATCTCGGTCACTGTATGCTCCTGCCTTCTTCAGAATCTGTCTATATTTCTGACATGAGTTATTGTAACTATTCACACTATTTACATTGTTCGAACTGTTGTCCTCATCTTTATTCTTACATTCACATTTTAGCTGTTGTACACTCATGCTTTCTTCAGGTGATATTTACTGGAATTTCGAACCAAACCCAGACTAGTCAATCTGTGTGTTGACATTTCTGAAGATTGGTTTGATGACGTTTGTGTTGACGTTCTTCCCATATTTATTTCCTGAAATGGACTGACTTATAATATTCACATTCTTGGGTCACTCAGTAAAGTCGGTGAGAATCTGTTCCATTTCCTCCACAAATGTCATCGCTTATCTGGCATTTCTCAGGATGAAAGAAAAGAATGAAAATGAAAATATATATATATATATATATATATATATATATATATATATATATATATATATATATATGTTTTAGCACTTTATGTGTGTGTATTGGGACTACTTTTTCTTCAATGAAATTTCAGTAAGAAATTTTTTCAGTTTCTAAATGAACTGGCTGATATTGTGAGTTTTTTATATTTTTTAATAGTTTAGTATTTTTCCTTGTCGAGAGTACAAAAAAATTTCTTACTGAAATCCATGAAGAAAAAGTCATCCTACGATGCACACATATATATAATGTGTATGTTGAGTCTTTAATAGCTCACAAAAAGCATTTTCAGTTACTTGCAAAAACATAATTATGTGATTGTTAATATGTGTACAATGTGATTGGAAATCTCCCTTCTAAACACAATACAACTTTTAATATCTTTTGTATGGTGCTTTTTTTTGTGTGTTTTTACCTTTAATAATCTAAAATTAAAGTTAATTGTATAGATAAAAATCCTAGATTACTCTGGCAGAAAATATAATCAAGGCAATTGCAAAATCAATTAAATATTACCATCATTTTTGACAATGCCAGTAAACCTATTAATTAAATTATCATGTCTCTTCAGGATATAGGCAATCATGTCCTTCCACAAATTCCTTTTCTTTATTATCTGTGAATTGATATGACTTCTATGGAAGGATAGCTGAGTAGCTTTTTGTTGCCTTCTCCACAGTTTGGAATTCAATGTTTTCTTTCTCCTAGACTGATTGCCATCGAAGGCAATTATTTAGTGAGAGGGAAAAGAGATGGATTAATCCCTATCCTAAGAGAATTTTTTGAAAAGTGTATACAATTGACTAGGCCAGAATTTGAACTTGGCTCTCCAATTCCACATTTTGTACCAATAACAGTTACACTACCTACACATGCATTTTTTTCTAAATAAACTAAATTCTTCGGTTGAGCTTCTATAGAAAAACTCCAAATTTAAATTTTATTTGGTAAATTATCATCATCAGCATTATCATCACCATTATTATTATTAGCAGCAGCAGCAGCTTGTATAAATATCCATTTTGTTTTGAATCTCCAAAACTGCAACATGGTGGGCAACTGACAATTTCCTCAACAATCAAATGAGCAGTTAAATCACTTCATATCTTGACACTTTTTTTGTTTTCATTTTTGTTTTTGATTTTTCTGCGTGTGCATGAAATATTTTATCAAATGCTTCTCTGCTCAAGAAATTAGATTACCTATTTTTATCCCTACACCAAAGAGAAAAAAAGAAGAAAAGAAATAATTGGGATAATGTAAATTAATTAATTAATTATTATTATTATTTTATTTCCTTTGATTTCTGGTGTATACCCTTTTCTTTCTGGGTCCCAACCAGAGACCAGAGATCACACACATTTTACATAGATAAAGCCATTCGTAAGGTGTGTGCTATATGTGTGAGTACAATTTTTTGTATTTCTTTAAGGCTTGGGCTACCAGAGATCCTTTCAACCTTTTCCAATCAAACTGAGGACTTCAAATACAACTCAAATTGTTGATGTCCTCACATATCACATTTTTGAGATTTTGATTTCAAGGTCCTTGTACTTTGCTAGTTTTTTGAAGATCTTCAAAGATACATTATAATCTGCAGGGACTGCCATGTCAACAAGAAAGCACATTCTGTTTTTGTGGTCTCTGATCATGATGCCTGGATGATTAGCATTGATTGTTCTGTCTGTGTGTATTGTAAAGTCCCATAAAATTGTTACAGGTCCTATCTCTGTAACCAGGCCTGGGTGGTGTTCGTACCAATTTCTTGCAGTTTCCTTTCTATAAAAATTGCATATTTTTAAATGCTGATATTGGCCCACTCTGTTATGCTGGATTTTATAGTTAGTGGGTGCCAATACCATGCAAACTGATACAAGATGGTCAATTGTTTCTGGATATTTATCACAGAATCTGGATTTTGGGTTATCACAATTTTTCAGTATGTGAGCTTGGTAATTTCTACTTAGCAAGCATTGGTCCTGTGCAGTAAGGATAAAACATTTAGTTTCAGCTTTTAAACTTTATATAATAATAATAATTATTATTATTATTATTATTATTTTTATTTTCTTTGATTTCTCGCGTTTACACATTTCTTTCCAGGTTCCGCCCAGGGACCTAAGGTTAGAAATGACATCATGACACTTTCCACTGACAAAAAAAAAAAAAAATATTACATAGATAAAGCCCTTCATAAAGTGTGGGCTGTACTTGTCAGAACAATTTTTTGTATCTCCTTGAGGCATGGACTTCCAGGAATCCCTTCAATTAGTCTACTGCAATCTTTTCCAACCAGTCCTAGGGCTCCAACTACAACAGGGATTGTTGATGTTCCCATATGCCACATTTTCTTAATAATATTATTATTATTATTATTAGAAGAAGAAAAAGAAAACGAAAAAAGGACTAAGTTTGTACAGACCATGGTAATGCTGTGTGGATACAGAGAAATGTGCTCAAGATGTGAGAAATCTCATTATTACTCAGTCTTCAGTAATAATCCTCAGACATCTGGTGTGAACATGCAGACACATGAAATGATGATGATGATGATGATGACACTACCATCATCACCAACATTAATAATGTACCAGAGATTGTTAAGGCTTTGGAAAAAAAATATTTCCCTGGGGGTATGAGAATATTTTCTCCCAATGTCAATACACAATATCCAAACAAATGAAAAGACAACAGTCAGCTGGCCAGAGAACTCTTGATGAAAGCCTCAACTGTGCAAAGATAGAATAAAAGAAAAGGAAATAGCAAAAAAACAATACCCAAAACAAAGAGGTTATTCATTGTAAACAGAGTTTCATATTGTCTCTTCTTCCTCTGACCCATGGGATGTGAGCGTCACTAGACGTTATCTAAAACTTCTCACGGGCAGTAATTGCACAGCGTTGTTCACAATCTATTTGCTAACACAATACCAATTGTTCCTTGTTAACTGATAAAAATAATAACAAATCAATATGGACATTGGTATTTGTTCTTTATGTAGAATGTTATTCTTATTCTTATTATTGGGGATCTATAAAGAAAATCAAGTAATAAGTATATATCAAATTGGTTTAAAATTTTATATCATAAGTAAGGATGTATAAAGAAAAATCAATTACTGACCATATATCATATTTAAGATTATATAAAGAAAATCATTTAAGAACCATATATTATAACTAAGGGTGTTTAAAGAAAAATAATTTACTGACCATATATAAATAAGAGTGTATAAAGAAAATCAATAAAAAGCTATATAATGAATAAGGTTGTATAAAAAAATCAGTTACTAACCATATATCATAAATAAGAATTTATAAAGAAAATCAATTAAGATACTTATATCATAGCTATGTGTCTATAAAGAAAAATCAATTACTGATTAAGATTGTATAAAAAATCAATTCAGAATCATTTATGATAACTAAGTGTATATAAAAAATCAGTTACTGACCATATATCATAATTAAGATTGTATAAAGAAAATTAGTTAAGAACAATATGCCATAATTAAGGACATATAACCAACAATACTGACCATATATCATAACTAAGGATGTATAAAGAAAATCAGTTACTGATATATGTAATAACTTACCTTGATCTTTTAGGGATCATTAAAATTAAATATATACATAATAATGATATAATAAGGAAAATATGTTCTTATAATATATTTTGTATATTTAACATTAATATATAATATTAACTGTATTTAATAATTTATTATTAAATTTAATATTTAATATATTGATATCACTTGTAATATTTAATATTGATGTATAATAATAATAGTAATTAATATATTATAATTACATTTATGATAATTTATGTGATTTATTCTATTACTTTATGATATGAATTGTATTTAATAATTTATTAAATTTATTAAATTAATTTATAATAATTATATATCATTCATCTTATGATAAAATAGTGATTATTTTTATAATAAAATGTATTATGTATCTTTATGTTAACAATATTTAGAATGTTTTTATTGATTAAGCTTATTAATATTTAATACTAATTATTATTAATTCACTATATCAATATATAATTCTGCTCTGTTGATGCTGAGTACACTGTTTTTTTTATTTTTTTATTAGCATCATTTCAACTGAGCCAGATCAAGATGAGCAAATTCCCAAATTTAAGTTTTATTTTATTCTCATATCATGCTTTTAGAACATTTACTTATTTTCTCTAAGCTGAAGTGAGGAGGGAACATTTAGTTGATGGGGTGATCACAGATGTAAGGTCTTTCTTTTGAAGGGCATCTTAAAGTGATATTACAGGCATAATTGTATTCTGCTATTTTTGGTTTGAATACTATGGTAAAAATATATCTACAGTTTGGAACATGCACAATACACATACATAAAGTAGATTGTACAATATGGAGCTCTTTAAATAAAAAATATTTGAACAGAAATTTGGATAAATCTTATACAAGTATTCTACTTATGTTCATACAAATGTTACATTATGGTACCTAGACTTTATGAATTTAAGTTCAGTACTAGATTGGCAGGAAGGTCTCATCAATTTACAGTTGAAATGGCTAGATCTAAACATAAGTTTTATGCCAACAGTTTCTTCTGTTACACTTCTCACTTGTGGAACTCTCTTCTGGCTTCTTGCTTCCCTGGGTATGACAATAAACTACTACTGGCAGCAAGGCCTCTGATCAGAGTGAAACCACCTCTTAACTGATATTGTTCCCATGTCCACCCTGACCCAGAGTGGTAGCACCTGTTATGGCCCCAGCTATGGGCAAATAGTTAACATTCAAACTGAGGTCAAAACACTATCAAAGTATAAAAATAGATTTTCATAGTAAAAATACCAGCAATATGTTTTGTTTTTTCTAAATTATTACCAGCAATACATTTGACTCTTGACAAAAACTCTCTTTACAAAAACACTTCAATAAAACCCGATCTACAAATTGATTTCTTATAAAGAATACATATTCTATTCATATGAACATATCCTAAAACTCTTGTCAGCATTAAGTAACCCATTGAAGTTGATATTCCATAAAACAAAATAAACCAAACCTTGCTTCCCAGTCAACTTTGATCTTCAAATTTTAAATGCAATGTTTTTAATGTCAATCATTATCTTCTGTCTTCTTAATCCTTGTTCTTTTATTGTCCTTTCTCATTAATAGTAGTTTTTCTCATATTTTCTCATATTCAGTAATCTCTTGCATCTTAGTGGCTTTATTTCCTTGCTTGGGGGGAAATGATTTAAAAAAAAAAGAACAGTGACTCACCTCAAATATTCAAAATTAGAATTTTGATTTATTATATGTGGTTGTATCATGTAAATGTTTGTATTATTTTTATTTGACTTCATATTATTCTACATGCCATATCCCTTTAGAACAGGGGGTGATAATGACTCTCCACAACTTTCTATCCCTTTTAGCTTTTAGTAATATTTGTCTTTTTGCCATCTCTCCCCCTGTCATTTTGTCATTCATTATCCATTCACACAAGCTGGTCAGGTAAGTGGCCCTCTATCTCCCCCTGACCCTATTGCCTTCAATATGTCTTTTGAGTGTAAAAATCTCCAAGCCTTCCTTCCTTATTATATACCTAGAAATTTCAATTCTCTATTTCTGATTGTAAGTATAAGTTTCCACTTTCTTTAAGATATCTTCATTGCTTATGCACTCCATCTAAGTTATTCTCAGCATCCTTCTGTAGAAACCACATTTTGCAACATGGCTTTCCACAGCTTCCTGTCCATTGTAAATCTTAGTAAAATTTGTCTTTTTTGCTGTCTCTCCTAAACCCTTCCCTGTTAACTATTTGCACAAGCACATTAGGCAGGTTATATACTGCTTTCCTCTGCATCTTGCCTTAAATATGTCCTGTGAGTGTGAAATTTTCCAAGCCCTCTTTCCTCATTATATGCCCTAGAAATTTCAATTGTCTTTTTCTGATTAGAAGTATAAGTGTCATTTTTGTTTCCATTTTCTCTAAAACTTCATCATTATTCACTTGTTCAGTCCATTGTATTCTCAGCATCCTTCTGTAAAACCACATTTATATTGCTTCCAGTTTCTCTTCATCTGTAAGGAAATTGTCCAGCATTCACTGCCATATAGGAGGATTGATGTAACATAAAAGTTCAACAATCTTTTTTTTTTGTTTCTAATGAAATTTTCTTTTTGTCTGAATTTCTGGGATGAGGAATTATCATATTTATTTATATTTGAACTATTGTCCTCATCTTTGTTGTAGTTGTTATCATGTTTCAGCTATTGTGTTTGCTGGCCTTCTTCAGGTATATATAAATTTGGGTAAGTTTTGAGTTCCATCCTAGACAGTGTATACTTGCACACAGTGGAAACAGCCAAGTAATAACTGAACAGTCAGTTATGCCCCATGCATGATACTCGCTTAGGCTATCATGTATCTTTCGATACATGACTGACAAGGCAGATTTTTTTCCCACAGTAGGTTGCTATTTCTTTCTGTGGTAGACTAGTTGCAATCCAAGGCTATAGAATCTGGTCTGTCTTGCTATTTAACCATAGTTGGATGGGGGAGAAAAAAAGGGTATCAGTACGTAAGTGAATGTAATGGATCTAACTGGAATTCAAACTCAACTCTCTGATTCCCCAATCTGAGCTGCTATACAAACTCCACTGTACTAAATAAAAAGAACTAGATGATATCCCTACATGCGAAGTGGAACAAGAACAGTCTACCCCATAGATTAAATAAAGTGTTCACTTCAGAATTTTCTGTAGGTTACCCAGATCAATATAAACCTGATGAAGGCCGGAGTGCACAATGCCCAAAATGTTGCATTTTCCATTCTTTGTTAAAAGACTTCCCATACATTTAAGTGCTTGTTTGATTTTGACATCTTCGATTCATAGTTCATATTTTGGGCTTTTTCTCTTCCTGACAAACTTATATTCTGTCTCCTTACAGATTTTTTTGACTTTACTACCTTGTCCAAGAGGTCCTTTATTTTTCATTTTGTGTCTGCCATCAACACAGTGACATCTGTGTATCTTATAGTGTTAAGATTGTGTCCAGGGTTATTTTTCGGTAGACTGTGTATAATTTTGTATAATTTTGTATCATTTGCTTATAAATGTTTCTGTGGAGTGAATCACAATGAAAAATCTTGTACATCCATATCATGAGAATTTCAGTAACCTTCAGGCCAAAAAATGTACACAGATTATATGCAAATACATATGTTCTGAGTCTTGTTTAGTGTTTAGAATATACTTAATTTCTGGACTAATCAAAGCCTTGTTTTTATGATAATAAAATAGTCTCAAGAACATGAATTAGTGATTGAATAGCATTATTTTGCAGTTGCTGTTTTTGTGTCTTTATTAAATATAAACTGCATCCAGCATCGAAAGACATTCTCCAATAGAGATGTTCTAGAAATTACTTTGTGCACTTATTACTCTTCATCTTCTATATATGCTATGTCCCCTCTGGGTGATCATGGTTCTCCACAATTTCCTGTCCTTTGTAGCTCTTAATAAATTTTGTCTTTTTCTTCTCTCCCCTAAACCTTGTTCCATTATCCATTTATTCAAGCTCGCTAAGTATGTTAGGCATTGTTTTCATTTATCTCTCTTGCCTTCAATCTGCCCTGTGGGTATCAGATTCTCAAAGCCCTCTTATCTCATTATTTGCCCTAGAAATTTCAACTATCTCTTCCTGATGTTAAATATAAGTTTCCTTTTTGTTTACATTTTCTCTAAAACTTAGTCATTGCTCACATACTCAGTCCATGGTATCCACAGATTCCTTCTGTAGAACCACATTTTCATTACTTCAAGTTTCTTCTTCATCTGTGAGGAGATTGTTCAGCATTCACTGCCATATAAGATACTGATCCATTTCTTCAAGAATCTTCCATCTCTGCTTTAGGAGAAATCTGAAGTATTTTTTATGCAGAACCAATCAGCGGTTTTCTTCTCAAAACCATATATCTTATTTTCGTACGTTCCTCACTTTCCCTTTCATCCCTTACCAATTCATTGCCGAATTATACAGATGGTTGCATTCACAAAACCAATTATTACACTTGACTTGCTGTTAATGTGACCAAGGCAACTTATTCTTTGAAAATGCACATGTGCTTTTACATCGCCTGCTTATAACGAATTACCTTTCATTTTCCTACAGGGTGTCATTACAACGAATAGAAGTTTTGACCGTGAGGCTGGAGATCGGCGCTTTGTCCTGAGAGCTGAGGCCATAAGTGATTCCTCTGACACTTGTCATAATGTCGAGGTAGGTCATGTCTAATATAAAGATCTGCTTTTGTTGTTCGAATACTCATTTACATTTGTTTCATGTCAGCTTCCTTTTAGCACATATATAAATATATAATAATACAACTGAAAAATACATTAAAATTACGAGAATTTAACATATTTTTTCCAGCTATCAGAACTTCTACCAAAAATCGCACAATAGATAACTAGAGCTATAATATTCAATAAATTCAAAAATGTTCAAATGACTTATCTTGTTAGCAGACTCAAGAGATTGGTGTTGAAATGTTCATCAGAGGGACAGATGTTTGTTAAATTGATGATTTATCAAATATCTGGTGCTGATGTTTGTTTTGATACAAAACTCTTGAATCAGCTAACCAGATAAATCATATGAACTTGTCTTAATTTATTCAGTATAAATTCAAGCACTTTCTAAGATCAACGGTTAAAAATGTCTTTGAAAAGTGAAGCTTGATGGTCTTCGCAAAGCTCATTCTTCTTTGAACTGACAACTTACAAACAAAGAACTGTACAAAATAACAGAAACCATATCACTTGAGGACTAACAACAGCAGCAACAACTAAAATGGATAGCACATGTAGCTCAAAGAGAAAATATTGACATAATCAAGATTTTCATATTCCATACTACTACATACAAAAGATTAGGAAGGAAACCCCATCAATACTGGGAAGAGTGACAACTGCTATTTGACATGATAAATCTATTTTCCTGAATAATTGTTTTAAGAGAAAGATTTTATAAATTTCAACTGAAAGCAGTACTGACAGCTAGGTCAATAAATGCCAAATGTTTCCTTGTAAGGAAATGGCTATTACCATATATATATATATATAGATATAGATATAGATGTGTGTGTGTGTGTGTGTGTGTGTATATTTATTTAATTATTTTATTAATTAATATTTTTATGTATATTTTTTATGTATTTTTATATATATTTTAATTTTTTTTTTTTATTTTACTTAACTTACTTTATTTTATTGAGGTCAAATATTATTATTATTATTATCAATTTGAAATTGTGATGATTATAATACAATGATGATTGCTTCACTGTTGAAAATGACATGAATATCAGACAGTTCAATGTCTCTATTTTAAATCTGTTCACTCCTTTCCTTTCCCTATTTTTTTAATTTGTTCAGTCCTTAAAGAAAAAATCATTTCTAGGTCATGGTATCAGTTCATGTTTAATTCTTCCTTCTTTCCTTTCTCTCACTCTCTCCTCCTCTCTCCCTTTCCCTTCCTCTCTCTCTCTCTCTCCCAAATTTTTTTTTAAAAACCTTATAATGAAATTTTTATTTTGTTTCTTTCTCTTTTAATATAATTTTTTTTTTTTTTTCTTCTTTTCTTTTTTCCTCTCCCTTTTCCTTTTGTCTGGATAAATTGACTCCATTTATTAAAAAAACTTTGGTCTGAAGAAATGAATATTTGTATATTCATGAAATAAATTATAACTGAATGGATTTTTAAGGATCGTCTGTACTCATTATTACATATATATATATATATATATATATTATATATTGTATTAATCCTATATATATATATATATATATATATATAGGATTAATAAAAATATAAAATTTGTCACTTAGCTGATTGATATTATATTAAGCACCACAACTCCAGAGTTTCGTAGACAAAACTGTGTGTATATGTGTGTGTTCATTTCTTTTATTTCATTTTATTCTTTTTTATTTCTTTTTTTCATTCCTTCCTTATCTATAGTCTTGTTTAACAAGAAGACCTTTTCCTAAAATGTACACATATGCACCTTTGAAGCTTATATATGTATTCCAACTTCCAAAATCAGTACTTTTCAGATTTAAATAATTTCCACATCACTTGAAGACTTCCAATAGCATATGTAATTCAATGGGAAAATAATGATATACTGAAGATATAGACTTTCCATAGTACCTTAGACAAAAGGTTAGAAAGGAAACACCCATCAGTACTAGAAAGAGCAATATGTTCCTGAAAAACTGTTCTAAGAAAAAGGATAATTTTAAATTTCAACAAACAGTAAGACAAACTGTTTGGTCAATGAATGCTGAATGCTTCCATACAGTAAACAGTTAATCTTACCATAGACATTTGCTAAGTTTAACTGAGTCAAACATGGCCAAATGGAGAAGAATTGTTTCACTATTCTCCTTAATAGGCAGACTGTGCCTACTTGACTTGATAATCAGCATTTGTAATCCTGGGGCTGGTGGGAAATACGCAACTAACCCAACCATCAAGAAGGCTCCATTTTGTTTATATACATGTAAATGGAACACAATAATGCAGCCAAATCTGGTCTAACCCATTTTTGTAGATTGATTTGTTTCACTGAAATTAGTTTTAAATCTTTCACTTCCTTCATAACATTTGTTTATATACTTGATGAATATGTAAATGTCTGTCATTAAAATGTATTTTAAGAAAACTGGTGCTACAGAATCACAAACTTTGCCAAATAACAAAAAACACATCACTTGAAGACTTCCAGTAACAGTAACAGCTAAAATGAGCATCATATGTATCTAGAAGGGAAAATAATGATATAACGAAGATATAGACTTTCTGTACTGTCTTAAACAAAAGGTTAAAAAGGATACCTCCTGTCAGTACTAGAAAGCATGATCACAGTCGATAGACTTGAGAAAGTCTATTTTCCTGAAAAGATTTTATAAATTTCAACCAACATTAACACTGTTTTGATCAATAAATGCCAAATGCTTCCTGTATGGAAATGGCTATTCTTACTCATACTATTGTTTGATTTATCATGTTTCAATCACTAAAACATTTCTTTATGACAAGACATTTATAAATAAGGAAGATATCTATTCAGGTATTAACTTTCTTCTCATCATATGACCTACACTCTGGAGTGGTCACTCCAGTCTCACCCCCAAAGGACTGAGTTTTGACCAAACAGGGTGCTACTTTTATCTTACAAGATAAACAGATACCTATGATATGGCAGTGAATGCCAGACAATTTCCTAACAAATGAATAGATAACCAACTGAATATTAAATTCATCATATTAGCAAAAACAAATTTTCTGGCACCTAACCTGATCTCTTTTCTGATGTGGTTCTAGCAACACAGTGGGGCCAAAAACTAGCTGGTCATATTCAATGCCTCAAAAACCAAACTAGTGACCTTCCACCATCACCAATCAGACTCGGAACTTTCACCAATTATAATGAATCGACGTTCTTACATGGAGGCATTGTGCCTTGAGCACCTATTGGGATTTAAACTCACCCATACCTCAAGTGGAACTTTTATGTATGATCCATGACTAAAGATGCTAAGAAAATGGTTGCTTTCTTGTATCACTTCAGCAAGTACCCCACTCTTTCCACTATCCTCTACCTTTATAATAGCCAGATCAGGCTGGAAATGGAGTAATGGGTATCAAATTGTTGTTTTTTTCCACTGGTTTTCACTCTGTTCTATCCTGTTCATATCTATCTATCTATCCTGTTCATATCTATCTATCTATCCATCCTGTTCATACCAAAAACTCTGTCAAAAGTTCTATCCATCCTGTTCATATCTATCTATCTATCCATCCTGTTCATATCTATCTATCTATCTATCTATCTATCTATCTCTCTGTTCATATCCATCTATCCATCCTGTTCATATCTATCTATCTATCTCTCTGTTCATATCCATCTATCCATCCTGTTCATATCTATCTATCTATCTATCTCACTCTGTTCATATCCATCTATCCATCCTGTTCATATCTATCTATCTATCTATCTCACTCTGTTCATATCCATCTGTCTATTGTAAGGTTGCTTGGAAAACAATGCTGGTCACCACCAATTTTCTAGCAATTATTATTATACATTATTCTGTCATATGTTGGCAGGAACTGTTCAGTCTTCACTTTCCACTCTCGATTGAGTCCAGAGTCTTGATAGGTTACAAAGTATTTTTTCACTCTCCAACCCCTTTTCTTACAAATGAGATGTCACAAGTCCCTCACTGTACTATTTCCATGAAGAAGAGTGTTCAGATGAACTACACTCCTTAGTTTCACCAGTTCTAACATTCAAGGTTAAGACCTGCCATATCACAAACATTGTAGTGAACCATTGTTGTTCCCTTCATATTCCCCTGGTGAGATGGAAGTTCCACTCAAGCAGCTTCTTCCCACATACCAATGCTTTATGGAACCAATTCTCAAGAGATTGTTTCCTTAATCCCTGCAATCTTACCCTGTTCAAGTCTAGGGCTAACCATTATCTGCTACACATATCCACATAAGCTGCGCCTCTTACTCTCCAACCTTCTACCTTGTGTGTCTCCCGTGTCTCGTACAGAGTGAAAACCAGTGGAAAAAAAAACATCTTTAGGTTCCAGAACTGTGCCAGATCATCCATTTTGCAAGACCAGCAGAAGATATTTAATAACAGTTCAGTAATACAACACTGACCCACAAAATATGCACCTCTACAATGACTTTCATCATCTTGCGGCCTCAGCCGAGATTGAACTCACCAATACTTTGATTGGTGTAGTTCATAATCTTGTCAAATAGCTGAATTCTTAATGCTTCACTAGGGCTATCAAGGGTGTTTTTATCGTGACACCATCACTAAATGGATTGCCAACCAAGGCTCAGAGAGACTCCATTCACCCTCCTCTAAGAGCAGGTTTGAATTCAGAGTTTTCCTTCTCCTATACCAGTTGCCACCCAAGGCTATAGAACCCAGTCTGTTCTGCTATTTACCCATAGCTGGAGGGAGAAGAAAGAGGATTCACACCTTTCCCAAGGGTGTTAGCATGTAAGTGAATGTAATGGATTCGACTGGAATTCGAACTCAGCTCTCTGATTCCTCAATCCAAGCCGCTATCCATTACTCCACCGTGCCTCCACAATGACTTTAAAGCATCGTTGACTCTTAGAAACTTATATTAAAGAATTAGTAAATACTATTGGCAGTCACAATCTGAACAACATAAGATATGCAGATGACACAGTATTAATAAGAGACACAACAAGGAAACTACAAGAATTCCTACAGAAGTTAGTGATGGAAAGACTAGACATCAACTGCAAGAAGACAAAATGCATGGTTGTCAGCAAAAGCAATAACTGAATATGCAAATTATAAATTGGAGATACCAAAATCAAACATGTACAAAATTTTAAATATCTGGGAGTTTTAACAGAGGACAGAAAGGCTGACACTGTAATCTGAGGGTGCATTGGGATAGTGAATAATGCCTTTCAAATCCTAAGAAACGAGAAAATTCCATTAGAAACAGAGAAAAGAGTACTGAACTGTTATACATAACAGTTAGTCTGCTCTCCTAAATGGCAGCAAATGCTGGACAATCTCCTCACAGATGAAGAAAGGACTTGAAACAACAGAAATATGGTTCTACAGAAGGATGCCGAGAACATCATGGACCAAACATACAAGTAAGAAAAAATATTAGAGAAACAAAAAGACATTTATACTTAACATCAGAAAGAGAGAATTGAAATAAGGAAAAAGGGCTTGGAAAATTTGATACTCACAGGACACATAAAAAGCAAGTGGGAGAGAGGAAAACAATGCATAACCTACCTAGTGATATTACATAAATAGATGGCAGAACAGGGCTTAAGAGAGATAAAAAAAAGACAAAATTTATTAAGAGCTACAAAAGACAGGTAGTGACATGATCGCCAACATCCTTAAGGGACATGATATAGTAAAGAAGAAGAAGACACCTATGGTTGCTCAGTGATGGAAAATTTACTTCCTGTGTCTGCTATTAATAGTGTGTCTGGCAATCAAATGAAATTCAAATTCTTGCTTGTAATTTTGTCTGAATAAAAAGAGATCCTGGACAATCAGTTGCTAGAAAATTGGTGGTGACCAGCATTGCTTTCTAAGCAACCTTACAATAGACAGATGGATATGAACAGAGTGAGATAGATAGATAGATAGATAGATAGATAGATAGATAGATCTGAACAGACTGAAATACAGAGGGAGAATATAGATAATAAGATAGATAGATAGATAGATAGATAGATAGATAGATAGATAGATAGATAGATCTGAACAGACTGAAATACAGAGGGAGAATATAGATAATAAGATAGATAGATAGATAGATAGATAGATAGATAGATAGATAGATAGATAGATAGATAGATCTGAACAGACTGAAATACAGAGGGAGAATATAGATAATAAGATAGATAGATAGATAGATAGATAGATAGATAGATCTGAACAGACTGAAATACAGAGGGAGAATATAGATAATAAGATAGATAGATAGATAGATAGATAGATAGATAGATAGATAGATCTGAACAGACTGAAATACAGAGGGAGAATATAGATAATAAGATAGATAGATAGATAGATAGATAGATAGATAGATAGATAGATAGATAGATCTGAACAGACTGAAATAGAGAGAGAGAATACAGATAATAAGATAGATAGATAGATATGAACAGACTGAAATAGAGAGAGAGAATACAGATAATAAGATAGATAGATAGATATGAACAGACTGAAATAGAGAGAGAGAATACAGGTAATAAGATAGATAGATAGATATGAACAGACTGAAATAGAGAGAGAGAATACAGGTAATAAGAGAGAATTGAAGATAGATAGATAGATAGATAGATAGATAGATAGATAGATAGATAGATAGATAATAGAAATGAACAGACTGAAATAATAGAGAGAAATACAGGTAATAGAGAGATTGAAGATAGATAGATAGATAGATAGATAGATAGATATGAACAGACTGAAATAGAGAGAGAGAATACAGGTAATAAGAGAGAATTGAAGATAGATAGATAGATAGATAGATAGATAGATAGATAGATAGATAGATAGATATGAACAGACTGAAATAGAGAGAGAGAATACAGGTAATAAGATAGAATTGAAGATAGATAGATAGAATTGAAGATAGATAGATATGAACAGACTGAAATAGAGAGAGAGAATACAGGTAATAAGATAGAATTGAAGATAGATAGATAGATATGAACAGACTGAAATAGAGAGAGAGAATAAAGATAAGATAGATAGATAGATAGATATGAACAGACTGAAATAGAGAAAATACAGATAATAAGTGTATATGTATAGGAATCATTCAAAATTTAAATTACTTGACATTGATAAATCATTACCATCTTTTCACTCGTTTATAAATGACAAGAAATGAAGAAATGTTTCCTGATTTGAAAAAATTTTCTCATTACAGGTTTCGCTTTCTCATTTATGAAGCAGTTTTTAGCTCCAAAATCCTTCCTCTTCCTTCTGACAAGTGACATGCCTTGATACAAATAAATTTCCTCCACTCTAAACGAAATAGCCTTCTTAATCGGTTCTTAATTACTTTATTGTTGGAGTAAGAAGAAATGAAAAAAATGAATAAGAACACATATTTCTTCACTCTGCACCAATTATCTGCTTACTGTCAACCAAAAGAAAAAAAATGTCACTTTCTTTATAAACGAAATCTAATGAGTGGCTATTTCTATTTAATACTGCCATTGGAGTAGACATACTTAGACATCTTAACAAAAATCTCCTTGCCTGCTGTCGACATATATATACAGTTTCAAGATATAAATCTTTATGAAAGTTACATTGCCTGCTGTTGACATATATATATATATATATATATATATATATATATATATATATTTCAAGACATACCTCCTTACAAAATTTACATCACCTGCTGTTGACATATATATACATTTTCAAAACATGCTTATATGTCTTTATGAAACTTACACTGCCTACTGTTGATATATATATATGTGTGTGTGTGTGTGTGTGCAAATATATAGAAAAATAGGAAAGAACACATTAGGTAAATAATCCAAAGTCCTTTTGTATTTTTGTTTTTATTTTAAAAAAACAGTGCTCAATACAAAAGTAGAGCTTAACTTATAATTATTTTTTAAAAATATGATTCCTTTGCTACAGAATTCTCATGTTTCAAAAACAAGAACCAAAAACTTCCATATAATTATTAAAATTAAATTGAATTAAAGTATCAAGCTCTGTTTCATCTTCAAGCAAAATTTTTTGAATAACTAATCTTGAATTTTACGCATCTTTATAAGCATATTCATTCAAAGGAATGTAGCAAAGGAATCATATTTTTTAAAATACTTATAATATATATATATATATATATATATATATATATATATATATATATATATATAACAATAAGAAAATAAAAAATTAAAATCTTTAGACACACTGGGTTGTAGATTAATATTTTTTCGTTTTTTATTATTATTCCATTTAGATTCCTCAACTAGTTTCGACCAAAATGGCCATCATCAGGAGGAGAAATATTTCTGCTTGCTGGTAGCACTAAACTACAGAAATGAATGTCTTTTGCTGGAGAAAATGAATTTTTGTCTGTGTGTATATATATATATATATATATATACACATTTTCAAGATATACATCTTTATAAAAGTTACATTGCCTACTGTTAAGATCTATATACAGTTTCAAGAGGTTTCAAAAGTAAAGGTTTATATGTCTTTCATTGCCTGTTGTTAATGTATGTATATATTTCCAAGATATACATCTTTATAAAACTTACATTGCCTGCTGTCAACATATACATATTCAAGATACTGTGAAATGTCATCCCTTAGACATAGAGTAGCATACAATATGGCCTGTTTTGTGATGTATTTTTATTAAATTGAGTATTGGGGATGTCATTTAGCTGAGATAGATATTGCAGAGTATTTGATCAATACCAAAATAACAGGATCCATGAGAATGACCATCACTGTTTTTATAGTTATTTATTTCCAAT